AGGCAAAAATGCATTTCAGCCAAACAAAATTGATCTTCAGAGCAATAACCTTTGATTAGAACTGCATGCAGCGTCTTTCTGATACAATATCCCACTGCAGTCTCACTCACTATTTTTTATTTTGGGCTACACTGCATGACCAAAATGAATGTTTTGGCTACTGCGAGGACAGACAACAGTAAATTTGGGGGGTAAAGTGGTTATTCTAAAAGGAATGTATATATTTTCAAACTTCTTACCTAGTAGCAAGCATTTTTTCAGACAGTGTCTTCCAGCAGTTTATGATTCTAGTCAATCAGTAATAAATATAAATCAAACCCTCAACACTACTCAATTAGCACATACCTTTCTGCAAAGAATATTTGCATTTTATTTGCTCTGTAATGTCAGTTCAACCACAAAACGATCTACATGTCATAAAAACGTCCAATTTAAGACAGTAACTCAAGTAAAGGGGTGATTTATATGCTGCTGATCCCGCTTAAGAATACGATTACCATTCGTTAAACAGCTATCTTACATCTTTATTTGACAGAGGATCCAGGTGCACAAAGAAGTTTTCACCAGGAGGACTGAGTTGAAAAAGAAGTCCTAACATCAAATGAAAGCCCTGCTGGTGTTTACAAATGAGCTGTGAGTTCATCCTCAGGTTTCCGGCATGCAGAAAGGGCGCTGAAAAGATTTCTCCTCTCAGATGCCTTATTTGCTCCCCTGTCACATGTGTGAGAGATTGTTAAATGACTTCTTCATGTGTTAATTGGCTTAACCAATACTGATGCCTGTACATCTCACACGAGACAGTGAAAAATAATTATCATACAGAGAGACTAATGCACGTCCAAAGCTAAATAAACTGCTGAGAATGTCATGTTAAATTGAGAATCTTGCATCAGTTTCAACACCACTGTGTTTTTTTTTTATTTTAAGAAAAACTAAACTAAGTCTCCTGTTTTCTGTTGGACTGCCCCATTAAGAAACAACCTCGGCCTTGAAGAAACCTCACTTGACCTGTGCTGTGATCAGCTCAACAACCGTAAACAGAGGTGTTATTGTTCCAGGTACTGAGATGGATGTACCTGAAAGAGAAGGTAATGTTTTTTCAAAAGCCCTCTGCACCCCTGGCACCCCCTCCCCATGGTGGCTCATGTGTGGTGCCCTTTGTAAATCAGGGACAGGATCCAGGCTCAGCAAGACTGCACTGGAAAAGCATCATGGGAACAGAGGGATGGACCAATATCTCCAAATTAATTAGAATCCTTGCAAACGGAATATTAAGTAAATGATTATTAAATCAGAGGCCATAATATTAATACTGATAGCTTCTTTTCACGTGTCAAAAGCACGTTATCTTCATTCCATTTACATTTCCAGGGCACAGCTGACTTAAATGCGTAGGTGTGTGATGGATCTCTGGGTTTGTGTGAGTCGGGGACGGAGCTGGGGGTGGGGGGTGGTATAGAGGCAGACTCTTAAAGCAGGATTTGATGGAGCCACCTTGAAAAACAGCACAGCACGGTATTAAACCTCTGAGCCTTGACCTCAAATGGGAAATGAATCCCATTCAGGAAACACATCTTTTTCTTAAAAGTGCAATCAGACACACAGAGCAAAGCAGAAGCCACTTAAATCTCCCTATTTCTTTCCATGTTAAGTACCCTTAACGGCCTGTCTCAGTACAGCTGGAGAGTCTGCCAAGTGATGTGGGGGAGGGGGGCTGTAACGCCGAGTGTTCGATTGATTAGTCACCCGCACCTTCAGTCAGGACAGTGAACGCTTGAAACAGACAGTTCCCAAAAGGGCAGGACTCTGCTTGCACTGGGGGGCGAGGGACCGAGATGGCTGGATGTGGCCAGCTGGCACCCTGTGATGGCCATAAATCAGGAGTTTCATTCAGGAATGAGTGTGACTTGAATGTCCCCCGTTGGGGAGGAGAGAGGCCGTGTCAAAACACAAATTCAACACTATTTCCCTGCTTTAGCTGAATAAAAAGTATTGGGGGGTATATCAGTGTGACATTAAACCTTGAAACGGCAACCTACAGGCTACAAGCCCATGTCTCCAGCCACTGCACCACCTGCGTCCTGAGCACAGTTCCAGATTTAACTGCAGCCCTGGCTTTTAAGCTACATTTGCTGCCATATATGCCACACAGACAGTATAAAACGGATGGGTATGATACTTCATTTCAATTCTGTTATGTGCAGTGAAAAATCAAACTATATTTGTTTTGACTTCACAGCTAAAGCGACCTCTGGATCTTGAGTTATCCAAAAATGTGGTCTCATTTTCTTTATGGCGCTACTCATATTTTACACTCAAATTCTTCTGTAAAGTACCTTTATGGATCTTTATAGAGGGATGCCATGGTCCCTCAGTGTGTAGCACTGCCTCAAACCTCCAGGGTGAGGAGTTTGCAAAATCTCACCGTGTCATTAACGCTTCCTCTAGGTATTCCTGTCCAAAGACATGTGGTTAGGCTAACTGCCTGTGGTGTGTGACTATGTGTCAATGTGTGCATGTATGCGCACCTCTATGGACTGGCATCCCATCCAGCCTGTACTCCAGCTGTGTGCCCTATGCTGCAAGGGCCAATGACCCTGAACAGGACAAGCAGTTAGAAGAAGGATGGATCTTTATAGAGTAAGCAGAAGAAGATATGAACAACCAAAACCTGATAGTTGGCCTGCCGCCAAGATCATACTGGGTCACTCAATCCTACCAAACAACTCCGACACAAATTGCATGATAATAGACAAAGTTCATTCAAATTCTAACACACCACACAGTGGTTTCTCCATCTTGATCATACTAGATCAGTGGTCAGACTCCATTTAATTGAATCCGGACCAAGCAATCATGTCCCCTGGCTCCCCATTCCCCGCTGGACAAATTTTATCCTCAGATCTAGGGATGGGTACCAAAACCCAGTATTTAACTGGCCCCAGAACTTAATTCATATTCTCATTAAGCTCCAATGTTATCAGTTCTGTTTTAGGTACTTGAGAAATTAAGAAAATAAATTTCCTATTTATTATTGCTACATAAAAGTTCTCTTGCACATTTCTCTTCACCAGCTCTGTTTCTGACTGCATTTTTGCTATTCTTAATCCAGAAGAGTGTTATAACGAGCGGGGTAGGGGAAGCAGGCGAAAGAGACGCAGGATCGGGGAATGAGGGATTTAATAAGTAATCGAAGACGCATTCAGGACAAACCGTCACAACAATTCTTAGACGCGGACTTAAATACACAAGACAAATGAAAAACAACTCGAAACAGCTGATGACATGGGGATTCCACACGAGGTTAACGAGGGGGGCGTGGCACACGGGAGGATCGGACGAGAGGGGTGTGACAAAGAGAGAGATCTCTCTCAGAGCCTGTGTATGAGGGGCGGGACACAGGGCAGCTCACTCGCTCTCGTTCTCTTTTGCGCTCTTTCACGCACAGCAACGTGTAACTTGAACTAAATGTTCAAAAGCGTGGTAACTTTTCCTTAGAGTCCATGCTGACAATGCTCGTTGCCACAAGTACAACAAGTGTTTTGCATGTAAGGGCAGAAATAAAAGCAATCTATCAAAACATCCATCACATACATATGGAGAAATTCATAGATTTCAACTGCCTAGCTCATTGGTTATTTGTCGTTGCCCCAGGTATGTTATGTATGCTAGCAGCCTGGAGCCCACACACGGAGTTAACTAAATTATACAAGTATGGATTCATTATTAAAAGTTCCATTAGTCGACTGATCTTTATGGGTGCATTCATTTCAATCTGAAATGGTCAGAGAATCATCTGTCATTCAAAAATTCAGTTTCAGATTTAGTGATTTGAACAAACTAAGGTTACCACACAGTAAGATTACTCTCATAGGAAAAGTCCTGCAATCAGTTTTTTACTTACAAGTGAACATTGTCTATTACCTTTGTTTTACATTTCCATTATCACAAAATCAGTCTTTAGTGGTGAATTGTTCAAAACAGAGTTTTTTTTTGCTGTAAAAAATATTTTGCATTTCAATAATCACATTATGATCAATAAGTTCAAAATAAACTTTTAAAAAAGTTCATTTAAAAACAATATATATGAGAAAATAAGCAATGTTAATTCTGTTCTTAATTTGTATCTTGTTCTCTCTTAAATCTCTCTTAAAAAAAAGAGTACCGACAAATTACTGGATCGATACGCAGTATCGGTAAGAGTAGCAGTGCCGTTAAAATCTTAATGATATACAGAACCACCCCCCATTCAGCAAATTTGATTGTCAGTCTCTATCTCACTAGACAATGCTCTTTCCGCATTGATTCTATCAGCTTTCTCTCTGAATTATATTATCAATCACATGAGACCCAACTCTCTCGATCTCTCATAGTAGATGGTGTCCTCTCAGTGCTGATCACACTAGACAGAGCTCTTTCTCTCCACATCACACTACAGAGCTCTCTCTCGATCTGGTTTATATTAGACAAGGCTCTCTTTCGTTCTTGATCATACTAGACAGCTCTCCCTCTCTCTCTTTCAATCTTTTGATCTTAAGATGACTTTGCAACTGTGGTCAGCGACTTTTAACACTTCTGCCGGTTCTACTGCATTTATACAGTTCAGCTCCATCACAAATGTGATGCAGGAACAGGAAGACGCACATGAGTGACAGATTGGCTGCAAACAGGCCACGCACCACCCATCCCCCACCCCAGGCTCCTCATGTGCAAATCAAACGCTTACGGGAGCAACCTGAACGCAAGTGAGATGAAGAGATTGGCAAAGGAACATGGCACACAGCTCCATTTAACTCACATTACGAAAACTGAAATTCACACAGGGAAAATGTGTGTGAGTGTGTGTGGGGGGGGTCAAATTACAGTATTTCAATTTCTTCTTAGGAAGAGATGTTAATCCATTAAACTGAATCTTCAGACTGATAACAGGATTTTTTTGTGATAGTGGCAGGGCAGGGGAAGGGAGCGTGGAAGGGGCAGGGCTGTTCCATCCTACTCACACACGGTCGCTGGGGATGATCTTGTAGCCGTCCCTGAACCAAGTGACCTGAGTCCTCGGAAAGCAGCTGATGGCAGGTGGGCTGATGACAGCTGCCCGGCCCAGGGCCACCGTCTTTCGCTGCTCCGTCTCCACGAAGTTCCCCATGTCTGAGGAAGAGGAGGAGGAAATCAGGCAGCGGTCCAAAAAGGCACAGTTGACAAAGCCCATGTTTTGACAGTTATGAAGCAGGCAAAGTGAAGAAAAGGAAAAAACATCAAGCTAAAGAAAAATCTTCGCTATTTCACATGGTTTTTAAAGCATTTTAAAAAGCAGACATGTTTGTAAAAAGGGTAAAAGGACAGTCTAGAGCAGCGGCAGGCCTGACGTGCTGGTTTCTGAACCCTCCCTGAAAAGGGTTCATCTGCTTTTAAAGCAGGCAGTGGCCCTATAAAGAGCTGTCTCTCTAAATGTCACCAGAGAACGCGGCATGGTGACTCTAACAGCAAGGCGACGTTCAGGTGGCCGTAAGGCCTCCTCCTGCCCACAAGGGGGTGCTGCTTCACTCACATGCTACTTGGATTTCTGCCCTCCTCTGCATGAGCGTCCCCATCCGGTTCCTCACCACACACTGGTAAGACCCCACGTCAGACCGCTGCAGAGATGGGATGGTGTACCTAGGAGTTGGGGGACAGACATCCACAGAAGGGCTGAAGAGATTACAAAAGCAGGAAGAAGCTGCGTCACACCTGCTTTTCTTATTCACTGGAACCAGATGCATCAAATATCCTTGCATATTTTTTCCAGGGAACTACATTTTCTGAAATTAATATCAGCCTTAAACCTGTCAGTAAAAGAAATCTTTCTTTATACCCACCAGGTCATTTTTGAGGCCAGCATAACTCATTAAAAATTAGCACCTAGCTTCATGCAGGGGTAGAGATTTATGGTACCACTTTACTTGAGGGGACACAAATACTAAGTAGTAACTCAGTTAATACTGAAGTACAAATCATAAACAAATATACTAGCTATGTAAGATAGATGCATCATAATTTATTAATGATGAACAAACATGACATCAGTACTTCAAGTGTTATATATTATTTGTTCATTCAGTAGTTCTTTCAGTTCACAAAGGTTTACAGAATTAACAGACATTATAGCTATTGCACCCCTGCTATATCACAGATTTTTCCTCGACGCATCACAGTTCTCTGCAATATGTGTGTATAAATACACTCACCTAAAGGATTATTAGGCACACCATACTAATACGGTGTTTGACCCCCTTTCGCCTTCAGAACTGCCTTAATTCCACGTGGCATCGATTCAACAAGGTGCTGAAAGCATTCTTTAGAAATGTTGGCCCATATTGATAGGATAGCATCTTGCAGTTGATGGAGA